GGCCTTTCCAAAAGGTGCCTCTGCCAAAATTGGAGCTCCCCGTGTCCCTTGCCCAGTTATGACCGTATTCAGGCATATTTCCAAAACACTCTACTGCCCTCCTCCTAAAAATAGTTAGCCTCTCCTTGGGGGCACACAATTTCACAGCACGATATTTCAGAAGGAACTATACATGGTTCAATTCTTTGGGACTCATATTGTCACCTGACTGCGTGTCTTTGGCTTTTTTTATCCACAAAAAAAGCTTCGTGAAGTGCACCAGATAGGTACTTGATCCCTGCCCGTGGAGCCGGCCGTCAGCCAGGCAGCAACTCGATGGCCGGCAGAATGTCAGGTAGCATTTAGGGCTAAGAAGAAGGAACAACATGGCTAAGGGGATAGAGTGATGGGGAGAAGGGGGGCACTTTAAACAAGGAGTCAGAGGACACCTTTCTGAAGAAATAAGATTTGAGCAGATTTTAAAAATGAGGAAATAAGTCGTGTGTCCATCAGGAGAAATCCTGAGTGCCCTGTGTAGAGGGATCAGCCAGTGCCAAGGGCCTGGGGTGAGAACAAGCTTGGAGTTTACAGAGTCCATAAAGTGCCACACACATGGTCTTGTGGGTCAACCCTGTACCATAATATCTGCTCTCTGTCCAGACCTCCTGGGATCCCTTTGTCATGTCCCCACCCCAACCCACCATGTGTTTTTCCCTCCGACAGCCAGCATCTGCGGCTCTCCTTTCCAAGACCACCCAGGGCGCTGAAGCCACTTTGCACACTGAGGTAGGAAGCAGGCAGTGCTGGGAACTGACATCTTCCCACCCTCCGCCTGCAGCCTCCAACCAGTGGGGACAAAGATGGAGGAGTAACCTACACTCCAGAGCTCCCAGCAGCAGCAGGCTGGGCCCCCCACACAGACGGGGCTGCACCTGAGACGACACTCTGCTCTCCGCTTGGCTTCTCCCCTTTCCGGTCCTGCTTCTCCCACTCCCTTGACACCAAAGAGAAACATATAGCCGGTAATGTCGCGGTACGTGGCAGTGAATACGTCTGCAGAATGTCATTTTCCGTTGTTTAAATAATGATGACAAAAGCATACACTTGACTGTTGGATTAAACACACATAGGGTGCTACCCCCTCTGTATTTTAGCCCACACTCCAGGCCTCCAGGACCCCGGACTGGGGACAGAATAAAGGCCTGTGGCTTGTGGTTCTAAGATCAGGATGCCCTTTGGCATCAGGAAGGGGATGGTCCCCTCTGGAAAGCCAACTTGGATGGATCATCAGGAGGAAAGGAGCTAAGAGATTCTTTTCCAATTCTAACATTGCTCAAAGCCTCAAGAGAACCTGAGTGTGTCAACCACACTGGGTTGACATGTAAGCCCATGACAAAGCCACTTTTCCTACACCCCTTAGCCCTTCCTCACCCCAAGCACAGGCAAATCCTTTTTATCCGATGCCTCGCCCCCTCCCCCTGCATAACACAGGCTCCAGTGCATTCATTCCTCCTTCATCCAGTGGACATTTATTAAGCACCCACATGAGCCAGCTGGTGGATGGCACTAAGGCAGATGCCCAGAATCCTACAGGTGATCGGCTAGAAGGAGCATCTGACCCCAGGGATCCCATCAGCTTTGAGCATGATCTCTGTCCCAAATGGAGACCCATGATCTCTGTTCCAACAGTGATGGCTCTGAGTCCCCTTTTCAATGTGACTTTGTCACTCCTCCTACCCAAGGTGGAGTCTATTTCCCAATCCCTGAATCTGGAATGGTCTTATATATTAGTTTTCTATTGTTTTGTAACAAATTGCCACAAAATTAATGGCTTAAAGCAATACTCATGTATGATTCCAGTTTCTGCAGGTCAAAAGTCCAAGAATAGATTTCTTGGTCTCCAGTTTACAGACAGTTGACTTCTTGGCCTTCATAACCACATGAGCCAATTTCTATAATAAATATCCTTTTTAATATCACTATATACATGCTATTAGCTCGGTTTCTCTGAAGGACTCTAACTAATACATCTAGACTCCCAAGGCATCCTATACATTCCTTTTGTGGATGGCTAGACAGTGCTGCCACCCCAAGGTGTCCACTTTCTAATCCCCAGAACCTATGAATACGGTACCTTACATACCCTATACAAACGTTATCCTATGGTAAAAGAAATTTTGCAGATAAGATTAAGAAAAGGATGTGGAAATGGGGAGATTACCCTCGATGAGTTTCGTGGGCCCATTATAATCACAAGGGTCCTCCTTAGAAGGAGGCAGGAGGTCAGTCCTTGGATCAGCTGTCAATTCCAATGGAGATTGCAGCTAAGAAATCAAGAAAAGACTGAGCCTTGGAAGGACAGCGATGGAAGAGTCAGGAAAGATCATCAAAAGCAAAGATGTGTCATTAGAGACCAAGGCTGAGATCCTCCGCACCCTCATATCCCCAATTACCACGTACGGACATGAAAGCTGGGCCATGAAGCATACTGATAGGGAAAAAAATGGATTCCTTTGAAATGTGGTGTTGGAAGAGAGCTCTCTCTACAGATATCCTTGACCACCAGACAAAGAAGTGGACTGCAGAGCAAATTAAGCCCGAAACTTCCTGAAGGCACACACACAAAAACGGCAAAACTGAAGCTGCTCTCCTTCAGGCACATCGTGAGAAGGCAGGTTCTTAGGAAACACACTGCTGGGAAAACAGAAGGCAGCAGGAAAAGAGGAAGACCAGACGTGAGAGGGGTTAACTTCATAAAAGAAGCCATAGGCACGAGTCCACAGGAGCTGAGCAGGGCTGTTGAGGACAGGACATGGTGTACATCACTCATTCATTGCGTTGCTGACTAAACAGCATGTAATACACATAACAGGAGGTCAGTCAGGGGAAGGCAAAAGTAAAGATTGGAGCGATGCAGCCATGAGCCAAGGAATACCAGCAGCTTTTAGAAGCTGGATGAGGCAAGGAATGGATTCCTTTCTAGAGCCCCCAGAAGGAACCAGCCCTGAGGATATCTTGACTTTAGCCCAGTGACACTGATTTGGGACTTCTGTAAAATAACACATTTGTGTTGTTTTAAGCCACTAAATTCGTGGTGATTTGTTACAGTGGTCATAGGAAATTAACGCATCCTTATTCTAGCACTAGTCACACTAGATGGCAGGTGTCTTTCTTCTCCGACTGAGTGAGAGTACTTCAGGCCTGGGCAACTTTGTTTCTGATTATTTAACACAAAGCCTTAAAGAGGGCTCACAAAAGTTGCTAAATGAACTAACAAATGGATTAATGCTTATCAGCTCCATTCTGCTGCCTGTCTCCCCAGCCTGAAAACATATTCAATAGCTACACAGCTCACCTGCCCATTCACCCCCACCGCCCCCAGAAGGGCACTATTCTTACACCAAAGCCCACATTAGCCTGGCCAGCAAACAGCTATTTCTCAAGAGCATGTTGATTTTCAGCGGAGAGGATAATCTCTCCAGATGTAACAACCGGATAAATCTGTAGAGATGCAGGAATAAGAAGCGGAAATTTTGATATGGTTGCTTTCTAACTGCAAGAATCGGTGTTGCATCACAGAAATGTAAAAATCATCTCTTCTGATAAATAAGTAATGAGAGCAAGAGACAACCCTGATCCTTACCACCTGCCCATTCCTCTCCACCTCCATCTCGACCCCACCACAGCCACTAAAATGATGGTGAAATCTGTACAGTATTTAATGACACCAGAAGAGGTCTACTGTATATCATTAAGGAAGAAAAGCAGAATGCAGACAGTTTTAATCATACACGGTCCCATTTTGTCAAAAAGAAAGAAGTTAAATATATACATATGTTTATATAGGCATAGAACAGAGGCTGGGAGAAGATTCGTGAAGATTTTACAATGGTTTGATGGAGATTATGGACAGTTGCTTTTTTTCTTACCTTTTTAAAAAATGTACAAAGAACAAGACTGTTGATGTAATAAAAAATAAAGTTTAAATAATTCAAAGTAAAAGAAATGGGGCGTCTGTGTGGTGGGGCTACGTGGTGTCCATTCGGGGACAGCCCAGGTCGCTCAGCCCCTCCCCAGAGAGGAAGCTGGGGTCCGGCCTCCGGGGAGTAATGGCGGAGTCACTCGAGAAACTGCAGGCGGCAGGAGAGTGACGTGGCCAGGGGACCTGGGAATCAGAAAACATAGACGTGATCTTGAGGGTGGTTTCTACCGAATAACCCAAGGATGACCTGCTTCGGGCTCAATGTGGAGTGTGGGGAGCCCGTTCTCACCCCGCCCCCCACCCCCAATTGCCCCATCGACTTCCCTACGGTCTTCACCTGGCCTCTTGGGTGAAGGCAGGTGCCGCCCAAGACCTTGGCCTAAGAACAGATGCACACGATCACCTCGGCCTTCCTGGGCTCTGTTCATCCCCCCGCCCCTTTCCTGCAGTGGCGTATGTTTTAATTCATCTGAACTGGTTACAAAACCACACTCCCACGAATACATAAATAATGGATTGGTGGGGGGGGCAATGTTTTAAAGAAATTCCCGCAGGGCCTGGCAAGGCAACAGCAAATGCATTTCTGCTGTATCATATTTAACTGTTTGCAAACTTCTGCTGGGAGATGCGCAGTGGTTGCAAAGACTCTCCATCGCCCTTCCCGATTTGGGACCTAATGAGGCTTGCTTGGAGGAGCAGGGTTAAAAAGAGGGAGTTGTCAGCTATCAGGGGCTGGGACGATGGGGAGGGGAGTGGAAAATGTAAGACCGCACTGCCCGACTTCCCACAAGCCCAGCATCCACCCGGCTCAGTGCCACGGCTCCCACCGCCAGGCAAGGCCCCTTTAAGAGCCAGCGCGCGCCCCCGCCCGGCGAGCGCTCACTTTCCCTAGCAACGGCCCCAGGGGAGGGGGAGGTCCTGGCAACGGCTCGCCCGCCCGAAGGGTCACGTGACGACCCACAGCTGGAGCGCGAGCGCGCGCCCCGCCGCGCGTTCGCCCGTCGGGGCCTGTGCGCTGCGGCGCGTGCGCGAGCGGTGCAGCACCGGCCGCGGGAGCAGGGAGTATTATGGGCTGTGGGTGCCGCTGAGCAAGATGGAGCTGTCTGCAGTGGGCGAGCGGGTCTTCGCGGCCGAATCCATCATCAAACGGCGGATTCGAAAGGTGAGCCACCTCCCGAGGCGGGGCGCCTTGTCCCGCAGCCGTTGACCGGGTCCGCGGGCCATCGGGGCGAAGCGGTCCCGCTAACCGGCGCTGTCTCGCCACCCCCGTGCCGCCGCCTCCTCGGGTCCCTGCATCCTCCCCACCCCCACTCTCCCCTTTTTTCTTCTGTTTTTCAGGGACGCATCGAGTACCTGGTGAAATGGAAAGGGTGGGCCATCAAGTGAGTGTCGCGGGGTCCAGGGACGAGGGGGGAGGGGAGGCAGTGGACACTGGGCCTTTTTTTTTCCTTGGGGGGTGCCCACTTTTGCTCCCTCACATGTGCCTCATCCTCTCTGGTTTTCATTTTTATTTTCTGCATGTGTGACTCGGCAGGTATAGCACTTGGGAGCCCGAAGAGAACATCCTGGACTCGAGGCTCATTGCAGCCTTCGAGCAGAAGTGAGTTTGGGAAGCTGGCAGGGGTGGCGGGGCCAAGGCTCGGCTGGGGCGCCGCGCGGGGAAACCGGGGAGCCGGGGAGGGCTGCACCGAGTGGGGCCCAGGAAGGGGCTCTTTTTAACCTTTTTCGTTTTGCGCCGCAGGGAGAGGGAGCGTGAGCTGTATGGGCCCAAGAAGAGGGGACCCAAACCCAAAACTTTCCTCCTGAAGGTAACCTGGCCCAGCCCCAGCAGCCCCCTTTCGGGCCCCTAGCCCCGGCACAGCTTGGGGCCTGCAAGGGAGGGGGAGGTCGGCGGCCGCCCAGGCGGGCGGGCCTTTCCAGACGGGCTCCAGCTGGGCAGGGGGTGGTTGTGAGCCCCTCTAGGAGCCCCTGGCAGCGACCCTGGCCAGCTCCAGCTTCAGCAAGAGGGTTCTGGGAGTTGAGGGCCGGGAGAGGAATAATCCTCGCTGACAAATCTAGGGTTTAGGGAGACCAGCAGGGCTCCAGAAAGGAAGTGGATGAAGCAGGTGAGGGCTGCCCACCTGAGCAGGTGGCAGAGAGGTAGCTTCTGTGCCTGAGAGTCTTCATCTCCCCCAGCCTTGAGCCATCTCCTCTTGGGCTCTGCTTGGAATTAGAACCCAGGGGGAGAGTGAATGTGGTCTCCCTCATGGCAGGGAACAGGAAGAGGCATTTGGGAGCCACCTGCCTCCCTGTACCCAGCTTCCCTTTCTCTCTCAGGATTTGTTCTGCATTCCTTCCCTCCTCACCCCGGGGCGGGAGGGGGAGTTCAACTTGAATTTGACCTTAAATCAGTTCGCTTTGAGTTCACCACCCAGGCTGGGCCACTGGCTTCAGGGCTCTGAGCCTCAGTTTCTCTCTACCGCTGGCTGTTTCTAGAGGGGCTCTAATGAGAATGGGGAGTGGGGAAGTTGAAAGCATAGGCACATTAGCCTTGGCAAGGGAGGGAGACCTAGCTCCAGAGGAAACCATCTTAGTTTTGGGGATTTTATTTTATTTTATTTGGTGAGAAAGAACAGAGTCTGGAAAAGGGAGGGCAAGATGACCCAAAATGGCATGCAAGGCAGCAGGTGGGCCTCCCTGGGCAACTACAGTCTCTGAGTTAGTGCTAAGATTGTCTCAGGGCCCCTTCCCATCCTGACAGACTGTGACTTTGTGGCGATTGGTATAGGAAGGACAGAGAGGGCTCTGCAGAGAAGAGATTGTACAGAATGCAAAAGCTCAGAATCACCGATTTATACGAAAGGCTCAAAGCCCAATGAGAATGGGGTGGGCCTCTCCACCCTCACCTCCCCACCCAAAAGGACTGTGTATGTGTAAAGATTTGCTTTGAACTTAAAGCTGAAGTGAGAGAAATGTGGGTTTCCAGAATTACATATTTCTGTGACCCCTGGCCCTCACCTACATCTTAGGGAGTCCATGAAGCCGCCTTAACCCTTGATGCTTCTTAGGAGGGATTATGCAGAGCCGCTGGAGGGCTGGTGCTACAGCGTCTCAGCGCTGCCGGAGCACCCTCTAGCGGTGAATGGAGTAATGGCTAAGTATTGATTCACAAAATGCCTTTAATATTAGTTCTAGTTCCTGAGGGGGTTATGGACCTAACACCTTGCTGAGCCCCCACATGGATTGTCTCCTTTAATACTCTCAACAACTCTATGAAGTGGGGAGTAGTATCGCCATTTTGCAGATGAGAAAAATGAAGGCCCGGAGAACCTGAGGTCCCATCACCCATCTTCATGGTTTCATTCTGCCCTTTTCTTCACCCTGTCCCTCAGAGAGTACACATCAAGTTAAAGGGCAAGGTAGACAGATACACACAGGAAACCAAGAAGGGACAGGATGGAGAGGCAGATGAGAGGACCTTGATTGGATGATGGAGATCAGCTTGATCTGAACCTGTTGCTCTGCTCTGTGAGTCAATGAGAGACAGTGTGTATTGTAAACTAATTACACTCAGATAGCACTTTCTACTGGGACCTATTCTGAAGGGGCCCAGGGCCCAGGAAGTAGATTCATTATCCCCATTTACCCATAAGAAAACTGAGGCCAAAGGGGTTAAATAATTTGTCCATGGTCACAGAGTGTCAGTAGTAGAGTCTAAACCTTTAACCTTCCTGCTGTGTGTAGTACATGCCAATCCCTCAGAGCCATGCCTGGCACCCATTCAGAGTACTGTAAACATGGCTGTGGTTACCATTTATAGATCACGGGCAGACCCAGGTCCTACCTATAAAAAATTTACAGTCTGGTGAGGTGATAAAAGGAGAAGGGTTAAACCAGTCCCTTTAAAATAAAAACTGTACAGGGCGGGCCAAAGTAGGTTTATGGTTGTTCATATGGAAAATAATACAATAATTAAGAAGTAATAATAAACAAAATAATACAATAATAAACTGTTTTGCCTACTTAAACTGTAAACCTCCTTTTGCCTAACCCTGTATTTAGAAATTACGAAGAAAAAGTGTTTCTCATAGAAAGTTTGGAAATCATACCTTAGAAAAATCTTATTGCTCATAAGTACCCTCCCCCCAATGGCTAAATCTAGTACTTATCGCGTATTTGCATGCCGGGCACTGTGTTAAGCAGGTAACATGTAGTGATGGTCATAGGAGCTGCTGTGGTAGGTCCTGCCATGATTGCACAGATAGGGAAAGAAGCACAAGGGGCCCACTGAGCCAGGCTTTCATCCCAGATCTGATGTTTGCCCACACTCTTAGCCACTCCCCAGGGACTGTCTACCACCTCAGTCAGTATACGGAGGGAATTGGGATCAGAAAGTACCCGGATCCCCTAAGCTCCATCAGGGTTGAACCTGCGAAAGGCCCTGCTTGCCTTGTCAAGGAAAGGCCAGTGGCTTTCCCCTGCCTTTGTCTGGGAAGGGATGTAAGGGAACCTAGTACCTGATTCTGCTGACTGTGAGCAAGAGGAGCTGGCAGCCCTGGCAGGGGCAGGCTGGGCACTGTGTGCTGCCACCTAGTGGTTGAAAGAGTTGTTGACCAAGCAGTGCCTGGAAGCCCTAAGTGTATGGGAGGACTTTGTGGCACTGAAGTGTACTTCTTCCACACTTAAATGAAGACAGCCTTGCTTACTCAGCAAATAAGTCAGCAAACACCTCTTCTAGGGGTTGTGGTCAGATTCAGCCTAGTCTTGTCTGAGGGGCATACAGGCTACCTCCCAGGTACTGATTAAGCACCCAGTGCTGTTATGGAGTGAGGTGAAGAGACCCCAGACCATAGATCCCACTCTCAGGGAGATCACAAACTATGGGAATGTGTTCTTTTCTTGGCCACCACCATCTCCTACCTAGATGAATGCAGTTACCCCCTAATGAATCCCCTGCCCCACCAGGAGCCAGGGTGTACCACCTAATGAGTCCCCTGCCCCACCAGGAGCCAGGATGTACCCCCTAATGAGTCCTCTGCCCCACCAGGAGCCAGGGTGTACCCCCTAATGAGTCCTCTGCCCCACCGGGAGCCAGGGTGTACCCCCTAATGAGTCCCTTACCTCACCAGGAGCCAAGGTGTACCCCCTAATGAGTCCCTTACCTCACCAGGAGCCAGGGTGTACCCCCTAATGAGTCCCCTGCCCCACCGGGAGCCAGGGTGTACCCCCTAATGAGTCCCTTATCTCACCAGGAGCCAAGGTGTACCCCCTAATGAGTCCCCTGCCCCACCAGGAGCCAGGGTGTCTGTAGAGTACAGATCAGCCATCCACCTCCACCCTCCAGGCATTGCTTTCAGTCCCTTTCTCTCACTGCCAGACTGTCTGCCTCCACCGTTTGTCTTAGCAGCACCCCTTCAGGCCACCTGAGCCTCTGCAACCACCTGGGGCACCATCAGACTCAGGAAGGACCAGGGCCCTCTCCTACTCAGGCTTCATCCTCTGGGCCTGTGCCCCTGTCTGTGCTTCTCTGGGCCACACTCTTTATTGCATCAAGTCACCTGCATTCTAACTGCCTGTTACTTGTGCTCCCTAAGGAGGCCAGCCCCCTGGGTAGAGGCTGTGTGTTCATAATTGTAGCCCCAAGCAGCTGGCACATCCTCATCAGTAGTCACAGTGAAGGAAGGATAGACTATGGAGGACAGCTGATAGGGCTTGTGAGTCCCTTGCTCTGAACCTGGGGCTTGACAGATTTCACACCTGGGGGTCAGCTGGGCCCAGGTGCCTGGGACAGTATCTAGCTGCCCACAGAACTCAGCTCAGCTACCCTGCCCCTACCATTTTAGTGCAGAGAATATGAAGTGGTCTGTCCCAAAGGCAGTGATCAGCTGGGAGGCAAGTCCAAGCTGGAGATGCAGCCTGTTCAAAGGCAGAGAGAGACCACAGGGAATTTGAGATCCTAAAGCAGGTCATTAGGACTGGGGTACAGAGTGGAGCATGGAGGGGCCTTCCTCCTTCCTGTACCCAAGAATTGGTCCCTGGAGGAGCACTGGGCTGGGCTCCTTGACAGAGCAGGGTTGGTCAGGGCTTCTGTGCAGAGTCCCCACTGTTCACACTCTTGTGTCAGCAAGGGCAGCCACTGAGCCGTCTGTCTCCAGGGCCATAGCTCGGCTTGCATAGGTAGTTTGGGTCTTGGAGCTGGGGCTGGACTAGGGTCCTATTTACCCTCTGATCTCATGCACTTGCTTCACCCGCGTCAGTTTCATTTTTTCTCTAAGTTGGGTCATGGGCAGCACTGATTCTCCTAAGTGCTCTCAGGATGGTTGATTGAGACCATTTGTGTGAGTGGCTGGCGCAGGGGTGTCCAGAGGAGGGCAGCGGGAAGCTGAGCCCACCAACGCCCTCCCTCCCCCACAGGCGCGGGCCCAGGCCGAGGCCCTCCGCATCAGCGATGTGCATTTCTCTGTCAAGCCGAGTGCCAGCGCCTCTTCGCCCAAGCTGCACTCCAGCGCAGCTGTGCACCGGCTCAAAAAGGACATCCGCCGCTGCCACCGCATGTCCCGCCGCCCCCTGCCGCGCCCAGACCCCCAGGGGGGCAGCCCTGGCCTGCGCCCCCCCATCTCGCCTTTCTCTGAGACCGTGCGCATCATTAACCGCAAGGTAAAGCCTCGGGAGCCCAAGCGGAACCGCATCATCCTGAACCTAAAGGTCATCGACAAGGGCTCGAGTGGCGGGGGTGCTGGGCAGGGGGCTGGAAACCTTGCCCGCCCCAAAGTCCCCTCTCGGAACCGCGTCATTGGCAAGAGCAAGAAGTTCAGTGAGAGCATGCTGCGCACGCAGATCCGGCACATGAAGTTCGGCACCTTCGCGCTGTACAACAAGCCTCCGCCCGGCCCGCTGCCGCCCCCGCCAGCCAGCAAGGCCGACGTTGCTGCCGCCCCCGCCCCCGCCCCCGCCCCCGGGCTGCTCCTGGCAGCGCCCACTGCCTCCTACGACGCCCGCAGCTCCGGCTCCTCCGGCTGCCCCTCGCCCGCACCGCAGTCCTCCTCTGACCCCGACGACTCGCCCCCCAAGCTGCTCCCTGAGACCATGAGCCCATCCGCCCCCGTCTGGCAGGAGCCTGAGGTGCTCGACCTGTCCATCTCTCCCGAGACCGCAGCCACCAGCAAGAGGGCGCCTCCCGATGTCACTGCTGCTGCCGGCCAGGCACTTCCCACTGCTCCCGAGCCTAACGGCACCTCCTCCGAGCCGGAGGCTGGGGACTGGCGCCCCGAGATGTCGCCCTGCTCCAATGTGGTCGTCACAGATGTCACCAGCAACCTCCTGACGGTCACGATCAAGGAGTTCTGCAATCCTGAGGATTTCGAGAAGGTGGCTGCTGGGGTAGCAGGCGCCGCAGGTGGGGGTGGCAGCAGTGGGGTGAGCAAGTAAGGGGGCTCCACCAAGGAGGGGGCTTTGGGGGGCCCTCCTGCCCAAAGTCACACTCCTGCTCCCGCCCCCCACCCTCAGACACCTGCCTGTGCTTTGCTTTTTTCCAGTGGCTGGTGTTGACCCCTAGGATGGGGTTGGGCAGTTGGAGCCCCTGAATCCCAATAGGGGTCAGTCCTGGACCAGATTAGGGCTGGAGTGGGGTGAGGGCACTGGAAAGCCCTCCCTCTTGTCGTTGGACACCCTCCCTCCCCATGCATGGCGGGACCCACGGAGTGGCTCCTAGGGAGTCCCAGAACCTGGGGTTCAGCTGCCCCTCCACGTCCCACCCTGTCTCCACAGCTTGCTTCCAACTTGCGCACAGCATCTGATTTCTCGGTGCTAACCTGGCAGCCGCAGGGCCCCTTAGGAGACCCCCCAGCATGGCACCCTTCCTTTCCTTCTTCCAGATGCCTGGGCGGGGGCAGGGATGGCAGAGCCCAGACAGAGGTTGAGGTGAGGCCGGCCTCAGCCCCTCCCTCCACATCAGAGGGTGGCAGTGCCCAGGGGCCTGGGTCTTCTGCCCGCTTCTGGAGGAGACTCAAGTGCTCCTTTAGGCCCCACCCCACCTCTGTACGACTTCATCTGGAAGGTGAGAGGAACTGGCAGGCCCTCACCCTGCCACAGCCTCCTGCATCCCAAGGCCCTTTCAGTTCTCGACCAAAGGTGCTACAGAACCTGCCGTGGGAACTTCCAACTGTGCGCGTGCGTCTGCCACCCTTGGCGTGTTTGTGTGTGTCCGTGTGTCCACTGGGCACTGGGTCTAGGCTTCCCAGACGGACTCTTAGGGTTCCTCAGAGCAGGGTCGTCGAGGGCCTGGGCCTTCCCTTGCCGTCAGCTGGGCCTGTGGAGGCCACCAGGCCGATCCTCCCGGCCTGGGTGGGTCTGAAGTTTTCACTGTGGAGGCTGCCAGGCTGACCCTCCCAGCCTGGGTGTGCTGGGGGCGTGCGCCCCATGCCCTTCTCCTTTGTGTGGTCAGCCTGACCAGCCAGGCCTTCAGTGGCCGCACACATGGCGTGGTGGGGACTGAGGGAGAGAAGGGAGACCCCCGGCCGAAGCTTCCCCTTTCTCCTGGGTGTTTGGGGGAAGGAAGAAGCCTGGAACTGTTCTTGAGAGTCTCCGGCTTCTCTTGCTTCTGATCGCTGAGGCTTCTCGTGGCACAGCCTCTGGTGCTGGGCAGCTTCTCTCCCCCTGCTCCAGGGAGCTGGGCATCATGCTAGTGGCAGAGACCAAAGCCCCGATTTTAACCCGACACTGGGAGGATAGGCAGGCCAAAGTGGGGGGGCCGAGAGGGGAGGCTGTGTTCCTCAGAAGAGCGAGGGTTTGCAGGGCCAGGGGTCTGGTGCGCTGTGGGAGGCAGCCCTGGGCCCACGTCGGTCTCCGTTTGACATGAGTGGCATGCCCTGCGCGAGCCTCCGCATAGCTCCCTGGTATGTGCAGTGACAGGTGTCTCAGCTCAGAAGCATGATGGCACATGGTGGGAGGAGGCAGAAAGGGAATCCAATTAGGGAGCAAACGCCTTTGTCCTAAGTGTGGGAGGACTCTTTCTTCCAAATCTCCCCACCAGGGGCTGCAGCCTGGCCCCTGGCCCTCCCCGCCCCAAAATGTAGAACAAGGGCCCTCAGAGGGTTTGGGGGGCTGGCACTCCCAGACCCCTCCCCACCTGCCCTTTGTGTTGGCTCTGTGGCCATCCAAGTGCCAATTGGCTTCCCCCCAAATAAGGGCTGGTTTTCTCCTCTGTCCTTAGAGGTGATTTCCCCCGACCCCTCACCCCAGGTGAGCGGCCACCTGGGTGCCAGTTACAGGTGTTTCCAGAGACCATAGAAATGTGTTTTCCTGAAAGTGTGTCATTTGTGACTTTTTTGTAAAGAAGTTGTGTTTTCAGAGGTGATTTTATGACAGGAAAGTGAAAGAATTAGTTTTACAAAAAACAAAAAAAGGAAAAAAAGAAATAGAAAAAAATATTGTGGGATTCCTATGGGTTGGGGAGGGAGGGGAGAAAGTATTTAAAGAAAAACTGGTAATGCAGTGATTGCACAGGTGAGGCGGCAGTGTGGGGCGGGGGCCGGGCCCAGGCTGGCTCCCGGGCTGCGGGCGCTGCCTGCCTCCGAGGTGTGGGCGTGAGCCTCCCTCCCTGGGCCCAGACTCCACCTGTCCTTGATCAAGGAAAGGATGACAGCTGTTTCCAAGAGAACTAGCCAGAAGCTGCAAGGGCCAAACAAATGGAGCTGAGATTTGGGGAGGTAGGGGGAGCAAAGCGGGTCCCACCATTGCCACACCCACGTTGGCGACTGTCTCCAGGAAGCCTGGTGAGTAGGTTCAGTTGGGTTTCTTGCTCTCCTCCGTTCCTTTGCCAGCTTGTTGGGCCATCTAGTCCCTGCCACCGCCACCCCATGGGGGGCATCTCCCTCCCTATCACCCCAAAGACCATGACACCCCTGAGCTTCCCTGAACAGGTAGGGGATGCAGGCTTCAAGAAGACAGGGACTGTCACTCTGGGAGACTCTTAGGTGGTGACTAAGGAATTGAGGGTAACTAGGGAGAGAAGGGAATGCCTGCCCCCTTCTCCTTCCACCAGTGGGTGGGTTGCTGCCCCTGACCCCAGCCTTGCAGCCCTGCCAACCTCCTGCAGAGGCATGCATGCACACTGCTGCAAGGTGGGCAGCTCCCCCGGGGAGCCTGGGTGGGCACAGGGTCACAAGCAAACAGCCCCCTTACCTCTCCCAGGGCGGCTTGGAGCAGGGCCCAGAAGCCCCCCACACACTTGCACAGATCAGCTTCCCGTGGGCCCTTCCCCCTTGCTGCTTTTCCGTTTGCCTAATTACCAAGCAGAAGTTTTTGTCTGGTTTGCTTTATTTTTGTATGTGAAATACTCCCACAGCCTGATCTCCCATATTCAATATTGGTTGGGGCATGGGGCATCTCCCCTTAATGCCAGCCCTCCCTACCCACATGTCATAGGAAACAGGTGAGGTGTGGTGTCTCTGGTTGGAGATGGGAAGTTGGGCCCCATCCCTGTCTCTTTCCCCTCTCTGACCCTCATTTGCCCATCTGTGATGGGTGTATTGGGAGCAAGGCCTCTTCGTAAAGGATGCTGGTGTGATTAGGTGGTGGTCGAGGTTGCTGCCATGGAGCCTCCAGCCTCCCACAGCCCCCTTTTCTCACCCTGCAAAGGGGTCAGGGTCAAAATGAGCTCCATCCTTCCTCTGCTCTGGAAAGAGGTGATGATCAAGTCCCCAGCCTTGGTGTGAGGTGGGCAGAGTTGGAGGGATCACCTCATTTATGGAAACGGGGCTCCGAGAGCCAGAACTGCTTCACAGGGGTCAAGAGCCCAGCTGCTCTGGCCTTTGGGGGCCTGCGCCCTGGAGCCACCACAGAGCCAGCAGGCTACCCTGAGGCAGGTGGGCGGTCCTGGGAGAGGGGTCAGCCCAGAGTAGGAAACAGCTGGGGGAGGAGGGGGGAGGCTGAGCCTGGAGACCCAAGTGAGCACACCATCTTTCCCACCTTTGGGGATTTTGTGGGTTTTGTTTCTGGGTGTTTTGGTGGGGTTTTTTTGGGTTTTGGTTTTTGGGTTTTTTTGCACTTGGCCCGTGCCGGACAGTGGAGCCCCACCTGGTCAGCTCCGCAGGCGCCATGCACTAGCCCAGGGCGGCCCTGGGGGCTTGTATGGTTTAAGGAATCACTTTAAAAAAAAAAAAAAAAAGACTGTTTAAAGGTTTTTGTTTTTTCTGTCTTCGTCTCCTCAGATTCAGAAAGCCCAGTTACTGCCTAAATTCCAGGAGAGGGGCTCCCCAGCCTGACCTCATCTTGCTGACAGTCACCAAGATGCCAAATGGGACAGGCTGGGTGGAGACAGAACCCCCACCTCCCAGGCCTGCAGGGTTGACCCCCTTTGAAGGAATCAGCACCTCACTCCCACAGTGAGTGCCTACTGTGTGCAATGCTTCCGCTAGGCAAAGGGGGACAGGTGGTCTGATGGGGACCCTTTGCAAGAGGCCAGTGTGAAAGGCCCCGGGAGTTCTGGGGCCTGCCCCTGCTGTCGGCTGGAGTGGAGATGGAGACTGCTTTTGTTGGTTTTAATTTAAAGACACAAAGGCCTAAAGAAATGTATCTTATAATTTTTTTTAATTTTTGAAAAGCTCATTTAATGAATTGTGCACGAATGAATTCTATATATATAAAATATACATATATAGCTCTATATTTGGGGAGGGCACTGTCTCTTTTTTCTCTTTCTCATTTTAAAAATGAAGTGTTGTTGCCTTTGTCTGTGGTTCAACCATCCAGCTCCCAGCTGGCTAAACTTTGCCTCCGGTGGTTAAAGACAGGAAACCAGGGGTTCTGGCGGGTGGACAGGCCGCCCTCCAGGCGTGAGGGGTCCCCGCCCACCTGCCCTGTCCCAGAGGCTGCAGGTGGAGAAGGCGGCTTGTTTCGGGTGCGGGTTTTGGTTCTGTTCTGGGTTCGGTTGTTTCTGGGCCGGGGGAGGGGGGTTTGTGCCGATTACTCTTGTCTTGTACGTTTTGTTCTGCTGCTCTTCAATATTGTATCAATGCCAGGAAGGGGGAGTGAAAAGCCTCTTTTACTCCCCAAATAAATTGTCACATTCCGAAGCTAAGGCCTAGCCCCTGGGATGGGAATGTGTCTGTCTCATTTCTTCCACTGCGACTGGTCCAAAGAAAGCATCAGACCTTGCCTGTCCCCCTGCAGGTGGCGAGGGCCCTGCCCTCCACTGTGGCCTGCCGGCACTCCCGCGGGTCCCAAGCCCCCTCCTCCACACACCCACTCAGCCTGCAAGGGAGCGAGCTGGCGCGGAGTACCCAGCAGGTGGAGCAGGTGCCTGCCACTTCTGGGACCTGGAGACCTGTTAGGCAGCACTTGTTAGAGTGGGGTCCCACCACCGCCTGGCCCCCAGTTGGAATCACATCACTCACAGAGAGGAGGCTTTGGGGGCTGGGTCTCTGACA